GTTCTGCTTCCATGGTTCTGGGATGAGACCTGGAACTCTGCATTCCTAACAAGCTCCCAGATGATGTTGATGCTGTTGGTCTAGGGGCCCTTTGAGTAGTAAGGGTTTAGAACAGTGCTTCTTAAATGTGTGTGTCTGTGTGCAAAAGAATCACATGGAAGGCTGATTAAAACACAGATTCCTATTTCCCATCCTAAAGATGGATTCAACCTGGGGCCTGATAATTTACATTTTAACAAGTTCTCAGGGGTGATCCTGATGCTGCTGGTCCCTGCACTACATTTTAATAACAAGCCTCTAGTTAACTTTTGAACAACTTAGTTAAGATGACTTCACCAGTAGTCTCTTCTGTGAAAACAGAGAGCCAAACATCAAAAGATGAAGGAGGATGCTACTGAGTCCCTTTGGAGAAAATCATGTCACAAACTTGGAGAGTGCCACAGGGTCTCTGTTCATTTTTCCATTGACAATATGCTTCTTTGACTAAAGACTAAAAATAATTCTTCAGGATCAAAAACTAGAGATAAGATTGGAACTCTAAGATTGGAAATAGTGCTGCCTGATGAATAATAGGACTAGTTATTTTAGGATGACAGACCAGCCTGTGCCTAGTGAAAGGTTAGAAATACCAATAGCAGACTGGGGCACAGTTGCTCACGCCTGTAATTCCGGCACTTTAGGAGGCCGAGGTGGACAGATCACCTGAGGTCAGGAGTTCGAGACCACCCTGGCCAACATGGTGAAACCCCGTCTCTACTAAAAGTACAAAAATAAAAATAAAAATTAGCCGAGCATGGTGGTGGGCACCTGCAATCCCATCTACTCAGGAGGCCGAGGCAGGAGAATCACTTGAACCTGGGAGGCAGAGGTTGCAGTGAGCCGAGATAGCACCACTGCACTCCAGCCTGGGTGATAGAGCAAAACTCCATCTTAGAAAAACAACAAAAAAAGGAAATGCTGATGGCACAATGTTATTGGTGGCCAATTCTTAATATACGTCATGAGATTTGGGGCGATGTTTGCTTCTTAGTGTATATTTCTTTGCTTTACATTTTCCTATGAAGCATATTTAAATATTGTTTTCATAACATGGGGGAAACATGAGGGAAACAATTTAAATATTGTTTTCATAACATAAGCAATATTTTTAAAAGAAAAAAGTAAAATATATGCTCAGTGTAAGTTCATAGTATTTTTTGTTTGGGTTTGTTGTATCTGTGTCTCTCTACGTTTGTATTTTCATGGGAAAGGGATTATTTTTGTCTATGTCAGTCATAATGTTCCTGGAGTAAAGGTGATAGATGGGTAAGGGCAAGGTCTAAACATTTGCCTGGAAGTTGGACAGAGTCTGGGTGGTGAAAATAAATTTAAGGGGTCCCAGGGGAGAGGTCAAAAGTTCCAGGAAAGAATTAGAGTCAGCTTCTCTTTCTCTCCTTGCCCTCCAAACAATTCAGCACAAGCCCTCAAGTCCCTTGAAGAGTCTTTCTTTCCCCCTTCTTCTTAGAAGGGCTGAAATACGCTTTAAGTTAACTTAAGAATGGTTAGAAAAGGTTAAAAAAATGAGAGAACAGTAACAATTAACAAGCTACTAGGGAAGCAGGGAAACTATGCTGATCTGAACATCAGAGATGACCTCCTCTGGTCTGGTTCCCTAGAACCCAGACTCAGGCTTTGGCTTGGGGTGGCCGGACCAGAAGGAAAGTGCCCAGTGTGGCAGGAGTCATCTCAGGAGTCATCACAGTCTCATGACTGTGGCACAAGTCATGTTGCCATCCAGCCAATGACTTGTGTTCCAAAAACTGGAAAGTGTGCCTCTTGGTCACTATGTAGATGATTACCACAGGAGCTTATTTTCAGCAATTCAAAAAATTATCCAATTCATGGTTTATTGCTTCTGTTAGTCTGGAAATGGTCAAACAAGTTGATAGTCATCTAGTTTACTCCTGGTAAACTACTTTCCAACAAAACTCCAGGGCTCTGCTGACACCTGCTGGCATTTCATCTATTTTATGTTAAACAACAACAACAAGACAAAGAAGCATTAATATTTTTCCTACAGTCCTTTGCCCTTGTTATGTTACGTGTACTTTACCTGAACAGTAGTAGAAGGTGCCTTTACCATGTCATGAGGAGAGAAGTGTGGGCAAGCCATTGAGTGAAAATAAAAATCTCCAACACGAAGAATGTACCACAGAGCTCTTGTTGCCTGTCTGCCCTGCACCAGCTGCTCTGTGACCTTAGGCAAGGCCATTGACCTCACTTTTCATCATTGCAAGAAGAAAGAGGCAGCAACCTTCCCTCCCAGTGCCCTTTAGGGCTTCTGAGGATGCTGGTGGCATTTCCTACTAACTAAAGCATGGGCCCTGTCACTGGAGTGATGGCCTTAAAGGTCACTCTCACTAACCTTTCCATCACAATAAACAAGATTCCTTGCCAGTGTTGTCTGTTCGAAAGATGGATGAAAGTTGTTTAAGCCTCTTCAAAGTGCACCACCACTGTAATTTATCTCGAGAAACAACTAAATTAGAATGATCAGAAAAAGCCCAGTGAACAGTCTCAGAAATTGTCCAGTTTTTTTTTTCTTTTTTTTTGTCTTAGCAAACTATGGACTTTGTTTTTTGTTTTGGAACATATAATAAGCCTGCAGGTTGAGAAAATGCATCCTAGTTAATGCCAACCCAATTATTTGTGCTTTTTCTGTCTATTCTTGGGAAACTCTGTGTGGGCCTGTGGTTTGTTAGGTCAATAACAGGATATTTGATAGTCTCCAGGGAGTTATAGTCCATATTTAGCCTGACAGAGGAAGTGAGGTCTGCCGATGAAAAATAATTGAGGCATTTCTTTAATTCTACTATTTCATTTCTTCCTCTTCCTTCAGAATCCTGACTCCACCATTATGCTTGCTGAGGCTTTCGATGCTATTTACAGCTCTGCTTTTGCTAGTCACGAAAGAAAATTTACCTCTTATAACCCCTGAGCCTTCCCTCAGAAAACTGTTAGGTATGACCAGGATCAGTAAAAACTATTAGATTCACATCCATTAGTTTGGCTACTACTTAAGAAAACAAACAAACAAAAAATCCCAGAAAAATAACAAGTGTTGTTGAGGATGTAGACAAATTAGAACCCTTGAGCAAAAGAGTTCCCTTGTTGCATTTGCAGTCCTTTGTTGGTGGAGGGGGAAAATGGTATGGCCACGATGAAAAAGAGTATGGTGTTTCCTTTAAAAATTAAAAAATAGAATTACTTTGTGATCCAGAAGTTCCACATCTGGTTATTTATCCATAAATAAGAATGGAAAGCAGTAAGTTGAGTTATTTAGATACCAATGTTCATAGTAGACATACGATTCACAATGGACAAGGAGTCCATCAGAGATGAATAGATGAGCGTATTCAGCCTTTAAAAGGCAAGAAATTCCGATACATGGTAGAGCATGGATGAACCTTGAGGACATTATGCTAAGTGAAGAAAGCCAGTCACGAAACGACAAATTCTGTATGGTTCCACTTATATGACGCACCTAGCATAGTCAGAATCATAGAGACAGAAAGGAGAATGGTATTAATATTAATCAAGGGCTGAGAGGAGGGGGGATGGGGAGTTATTTAATGGATATGGAGTTTCAGTTTTGCAAGAGGAAAAGAGTTCTGGAGATGACTGTTTATGTTGGTTGCATAACAACGTGAATGTACTTACTGCCACTGAATTTTTCATTTAAAAACGGTGAAGGGATAAATTTTATGTTATATCCATTTTTAACACAATTAAAAGAAATGTTAAACAGCAAAAAACAAAGCAAAACAAAACCATACTCTGTTGGAATGTAGTCATCACCTTTGCCCTTACAGAGATTAAATTGCTTGACTTTTTTAAACCTGGTTCTACTAGGCAGTGCTGTCCAACAGTCCCATCTGTGATGGTGGAAATATTCTTTATCTGCACTGTCTGAGCCATCAACCCCATATTGGTGTTTAAGCATGTAAAATGTGATTAGTACAAATGAGACACTGAACTTTATTAAATTTAAATAGCCATATGTGGCTAGTGGATACCATACTAGACAGTGCAGATAGAGTTTACATCTATATTACTGTCTATTCCAAGATATTTTCCCTTCCTCAGCACTAAGCCATAAATCTAAGCAGTCAGGCTGTAAACCTAAGAAGGTAAGGAATCAGCTTATGTGTGGGCCACAGTTCTATTTAACCCACAATATCAATTTGCTACGAAGTGTTTTGCCAAGGGTGTGATTCTTTTATGGCATTCATTGGCATCAGTTTTTGGACCCAAGGGCAGATTTGGCCTTAATTCATGGGCTAAGCTTTTCTAGTAAATGCCCTTTTAGAGACCCAAATTCCTCTACTGCCATGCACAATCTCCCTTCACTTGTCCTTGTAAATCCATGGAGTGATGGTATGAACTACAAGTGAGGTCCAAGGCCTTATACAGAAATTATGTGAACACATCGCTGTTTGCTCTGATCACCCTGGCAATCAAAGAACATTTTACTTTTTAAGGCTTTGCTGGAAAACACAGGTAAGATATGTAACAAACTCTTAGATTGAAAGGATCACACAATAAAATTGATGAAACCCTATGCATTTATCCTCTAAAATAAAAATAGTTAAATATGTCATTATGTATTGTATAATGCTGGTTGGAAATAACTAAGATTGTCAGCAACTGAAAAAGGGCTTATATTTAAACAAGCCGCAAATGGAAAGCTTCACAAGTCAATCAGTGGGCAGCATTCCTTTGTGGCAGCCCAGAGTTTAATGGCACAATAGATGGCACATTTGTCTTCGTGGAAAGAATGAAAGCAGTTTATTAAAGAATAAAATATGAGCAGGCAAAATATAGATGACTGTGCAACAGGAAAGGGACAAAAGAAGAGTTTGTGTTTTTATTACACAAAATGGATACAATCTATCCAATAAAAACCACTCTATTTAACTCCAGCAGATTTGCTCACCAAGAATATTTTTTTTCTCTTTCAGCAATGGGTAGAAGGCCTGAGATCAATCATACACAACTTCAGGGCCAACAATGTCAGTCCAATGACGTGCCTCAAGAAACAGTGAGTGTTGTTTGCATTACTCTTTCTTCTTGGCAGTTATCAAACAAACGGTCAGATGAAGAGATGAAGGCTAGGTGGTTCCTTCCTCCTCAGGCAAATTCCTACTTGCTTTTCCCTCCATGCTCCTGACCTTGGAGTTGGCCAACACACATCGGTACTCTTCATACCACCTAGAAGGGTATGCATGATAAACCCAGAGCCCAAAACCTATATGAAAAGAATAGTTGATGGCCAAAGGACACTGGAACCTGAGTCACTCTGTATCCTGTCAGTTGTGGGTACTGGCTTTTGTGTCCCCAGACTGAGTTTTCTGACAGACAGCTCTGCCCATGTCTGGGGCCATCGCTGAGTGCTGGGATAATTCAATCCTCTGCTGCATAAAACTGAGAAATGAGGAGTGTGGCCAAGAGAAGCACTTGCCAACACACCCATGCTAGAGTGAAAAAGAAGCCTCAGCCCCAAGTGCCGTGCTCCCTGTTTAACACACAATCAGGAATTCAAAGATACCTCTGAATTTTTTTCTGTAGGATTCAGTCATTTAAAGATTTGATCAAGGATCCAATGGTGATTTCCGAATTTATTGTTTCCATGAAAGAAGGAATTACTCCAGCTTACAGTATCTGAAATCCAGAGGAGTACTACAGTGGTAGATTTAAATCCTACCCAAGTTAACCTTTCAAGGCGACATGTAAATCACCCACAAAGGAATCCTAGCCAAAGTCAAATGTCAGCCAGTTTGAAAAGCAGTGATCCATGAAGGTGGGGGCCATCTGCCTTCACAGGGCCGTTGGCAGGCAGTTGTGAGGTGCCAAGAGTAACCATGTCGAGAAATTGCAGGGATAAGCCTGCATCTCTCAAAATTATGCCCGAGCACCAAGAGTGTGATTCATCATACTCACTTGGCAATGGGCCAAGAGGTTAGTCCTAAAGGTACTGTCATGTCTTATCTTCTGGTCATTGTAGCAGGTACTTACAGGTATAGTCTCTAGGCTATAAATCCTAACTTCACCATGGCAAATTCTTAGACTTGTTCCTCACTGTCCCCATAAAAATTACCATGCAGATGAAACTGGAAAGTATTCTTTATTCAGTACTACTTACCTTAATTGTTATGGTACCCCTCCAATTTTCTTTCATCCTCTTAGTGGAGGAAAGTTATTTCGTCTTATCTATTTCTATTTGTTGTGCAGCTGCTTCTCCTTTTCCTCTGCAGTTGCCCTGGCATGTGTTTTTAAAGAGAAACCCAGTGGATATTCTGATGTTATGACTTCAGGCACTGATAGTCCTGAAAGATCAAAAACCTTTAGAAGGCTTACTTATACCTGAGTGACACAAATATCTGTAGCTGACATGAGATCTGGCAACATCCTGCCCAGATCCCTTTATGAAGCTGGTGTTCACCCAGCCATCATCTGCCATGGGGATGGGCTCACCAAGGGCTCAGACCTGTCCGCTTCTTCAGAGCATTGCCCTCTGCTGAAGGGGAGCTCCCATTCCTGGAAGATTATACTCTTCCCTCCTCTGGCGGGAAGTCCACAGCCAATGATGAGCTGCAATGGGGTACAGTAGGCCATCCCTCTTACTGCCAAATCTGGCACAAATCACATGAGAGTTCACTCACAATCTCACGTGAGTTCAAGCTAAATCAAACTCCATCTGAGACCACAACTTTGCTTAACTCTTTTTTCTGCCCAATCTTCTTCGCTTACTCCCTTCATCCCTAAAACATCCCCTTATTAAAGTAGTTAGTGGTGCGTCTATGAAACTTAAGACAGAAACTTTACCACATCATCATGTTCTGCAGATTGTTAGCACATTTTGATTGGAAACAGTGAGAATGGGAGTCATTAGCAAAGAAGAATCCTAGCTCCAAAGTACAGATAAAGGTTCTGAGTCTCCTGAAAGCCTGGGGAAAGCAAGGAATTGTTCACCATCAATTTGAGTCGATGAACTAGTCTTACCACTGGAAATTAAGGAGGCACCCATGTGATCAGTACTTGGCAGCACTAGGAGCTGGGAGTGATGAGTTCTCATGAGTCCTCAAGAAAAGGTTGGCTGGTGTCACCGTGCAGTTGCATTTCCCACCACTTTAATATATTATTACAGAGCAATAATCGAGCAGACCAATCGCAAATAAGTACAAACGATGTGTTTTGCTCATTGCAAGCATGCAGTCATCTCATTTAGCTAGGGTTGCCAGATAAAATAGAGGACACTTAGTTAAATATGAATTTTAGATAAGAAACAAATTATATTTTAGTATAAGTATATCCTATGGAATATTTGGAATATACTTACAGTAAAAAAAAAAATGTTGTTTTTCTGAAATTCAAGTTTAACTGAGAGCTCTGTATATTTATGTGCTAAATCTGACAACCCTAAATTCATCTCATAGTACATAATTGTCTGATTTTCAGAACCAATGTTCTTGATTTGAATGAACTTTGTTTTAAAGTTCTTAACAGAATTGAAGCTGTTCACCCTAAGAAACATTAAGGCAGTGTTATTGCTATTGTTTTGCAGCTGGATGAAATTGGCATTTATGACCAACACAAATGGTAAAATTCCAGTTAGGAGGTAAGTAATCATTCCTATCTGCTGTCCATGCCCTGGATCAACCCTTGTGATCCCAAACCAAAGAGAGAACCCTTCACAAGTATTTATGTGTTAAATGCTTTAAAGATATTTCTGGAATCTTAGTTTCAATTGCTTTGACAAATGCTATATTCAGTTGGTAAAAATCATTTACGGAAGTAAAGCTGCATTTTTTTTTTTTTTTTTGTCAAAATAGGTGGCAAAAGAGGTACTTTGACAACTTAAAAAACATCAGAAAATGTAGCACTTTTTTTGTTTTGTTTTGTTTTTTTGTTTTGTTTTGTTTTGTTTTTTTTGAGATGGAGTCTCGCTCTGTTGCCCAGGCTGGAGTGCAGTGGCGGGATCTCTGCTCACTGCACGCTCCGCCTCCGGGTTCACGCCATTCTCCTGCCTCAGCCTCCCGAGTAGCTGGGACTACAGGCGCCTGCCATCACGCTTGGCTAATTGTTTTTGTATTTTTAGTAGAGGCGGGGTTTCACCATGTTAGCCAGGATGGTCTTGATCTCCTGACTTCATGATCCACCCGCCTCGTTACAGGTGTGAGCCACTGCGCCCGGCCAGCACTGTTTTTTAAAATCTGCAAATAAGTGGGTTTTTAGGATTTATGTTTCTTTTGCTTATTTGCCCTGAGTAACTGTTAGCTAAACTTAAAGATTATATTGTGCACCTACTGTGGAAGGGTGTGGACCATGTCTTGAGAATTGTGATGCCTCTGAACAGAGCATTTTCATTCTGGGCTTTGCTGCTCATCTGGTGCTCAGGGTAGATAGGGCTCCTCCTCTGGCTTCGTGCTGCCTACTCTCTACGTGTACTGTAACTGACACCACACACTCTGTGGAGCTGTCCTTTCCACTTTTGCCCTGACGCAGGTAACAGTGACAAAGAATAAAAAGGCTTGGGGCTGGGTGCGGTGGCTCACGCCTGTAATCCCAGCAGGATTTGGGAGGAGGCCAAGGTGGGTGGATCACGAGGTCAGGAGATCAAGACCATCCTAGCTAACATAGTGAAACCCGTCTCTACTAAAAATACAAAAAAAAAAAAAAAAATTAGCCGGGGTTGGTGGTGGGCGCTTATACTCCCAGGTACTTGAGAGGCTGAGGCAGGAGAAGGGCGTGGACCCAGGAGGCAGAGCTTGCAGTGAGCCGAGATCCTGCCACTGCATTCCAGCCTGAGCGACAGAGTAAGACTCCATCTCAAAAAATAAAAAAATAAATAAATAAATAAAAAGGCTTGGGTGGAATCAAGAATAAAGAAAACATGGACAGGATACGTGCTCCACATGTGTTCTTTGATACTTAGGTAGACAGATTTCACCCTCTGAGAATTCCCCATGCATCCCTCTTTTCTGCTTCTCATGTCCTTCCAGAGGTTAGGGTTTACACATGGTCTCTGGGTGCAGTTGGAAACTCTTTCGACAGCAGTGATGGGAATTCTTTACCACTCTCTAGTACCTTTGTGGTTGGTGTTTGTTTTAAGCATTCATGGAAATTCCAGAAGTTGGGCTGGGTCCCAGGGCATCTGCTGTTCACATAAAGACAGGAGTATATCTGGATTCATGAACCTAAGCCCATGACCAGAATCAAACATGGGTTCCCCAGATACCAACTCTGTCTTCCAGGATTCTCCAGACTCAGGTTTATGTTCACTTCTCTGGACACCACTTTAACAAATAAGCAAATCGACAAATAATAACAAACAAAACCCAGAACTACTAGATGGAATCCTGTCTTAGAATTGATCTTTCTTTCAGAGATGACCAGGTCACCGAGTGCACAGCATCTGTGTGGATGCACGGAGCAGTGTCATGTGCTGGTGGCTCCTGGCCATTTCTGACTCTCCTTTCCCACCTTCCCTTCTCAGCTGTTTCATTCTGCCCTGCAGCTTCCATTCTGCATCCCTGTGAGACTATCTCCATACTCCCTTGACATTACTCTTTTCATATTTAACAGAATTGTCCCAGAAGTCGTCGTTTTTCTCAGTCTTGTGTATTAAACAATCACGACCTAAAGTATCCATGTGACCACTTAAATACCGAGAAAATGTAAAGCATAGAAGTCATGAAGAAGACCTTGGACAATATATTTTTTAAATTTAACCCTTTATTGAGGGCTTACTGAGTCACAGACCTCACGCATTTGTTGTGGTCTTTCCAAATCTATCTGTAGGATTCTCTGCTTTTATTTCATAACTTGCTAGAAGTCAACTTTTTGTCTACTTTAGAAGTTTGAAAAAAGCCCTGTTAGCAGGCTTGACTGATGACTATTGGCAGATACTTTATGCTTATCCTTATTTAAAATCCTTTGCTCAGTTGAGCAATAGCAGAACAATTATTTTAATGTATCCCAGTACCCTACGGCTATTGCATTTTTATTTAAAATCAGCACAAAGCAGTGTGAAGAATAGAAATGTAGGCTGGATGTGGTTTTACATGCCTTACTATCCTGCTTTTTCTTCCAAGATAAGGTTCAGGAAATGGGCAAAGTAGAGACACATAGATTGTGATCAAAGCACTTCTAACCAGCAGTCTTGGTTTCATTTGTATGTATCCTACGAATCAAGTCATTGTCATACAAGCTTTGAAGTCGTTTCTGATTCCACTGATTTTTATCTAACATGTTCACATACAAAATTATTACCACATTTTTGTAGAAATAGCTTAGATATTTTGGTGTCTTCTTTAGCTCTCTTTGACATGGACTCTGTGGTACTTGCCAGTATTAACAGGTGTTTGACACAAGGCAGCTGTGATTTGGGGGCAGTTTGTTAGAGTTGATGGAGAATTGATACCATGCCAAAAAAAAAAAAATCAGATAACTCTATTGGTGAATGAGCTGCCAAGAGTTAGGTGGAAATTGTTGTGAATGTTTTAATGGATATGAAGAGTAAATACTATAAAAACGTTATTTCTTCACTATCATTCTGAAGGTTTTAAAATGGAAACTATTAGTGTACTGTTCATAATATTAAAAGAGATCTGGCTTCAGAGTGATTACATAGCTTGGGAAGGGTTCCTGCTGTTTAGCATTAAACCAAAATTTAATATCCAGGAAGTTGCAGGAATAACACATGAAGAAAATCTCCCTCTTCTCTTGTCTTGCTGTGTACATAACCCATGCAGTCTGCCTTTCTCTCAAATTCACAAATTCACACTCAGTTTATCCTCCCACTCAGACCAAAGTTTTGGAAATAACACTTCTCTTTTGCCACCTTCCCTCCTCCCTCGTAACCTGGAGTGGACACCAATGACTAGAAAATTGGGAAATGAATAGCCAGACATTAGTTGTGGGCAGGGGCTGGAAGAGATCCCAAACAAGATGGCTGTGTTAGAGAAGGCTGAGAGCCGCAGGTGCAGTCTTGGAAGCACTCCTATATAATCAGCCCATCCATATCCTGAAGGCCCAGCAGCGCATGAAGAAGATAGGATTCTGCTGGGGCAGTTGCCCCATCCTTCACTGAAGAGTTCTCTGTAAATTTCAGAACGTGGCGTTAAAACCATTGTGTAGATTGCAGACCCTGTGCCAGCTAGCAAAGAGTAGGACTCCCTTAGTTTATAGGATCGCTGCTGTTTTAGCCACTTGCAAAGTCCCCTGGAATAGAATTTAACCAGGACTCTAATAGGACTGGACACAACTCAGGGGTGTTTGCTTTTGTAGCGTTTCTTTTGGGGAATGGGCGGTGGTTTATTTTGATTCAACAAAAACTCATTGAGTACCAGTTAGCTATGAGGCACTAAGCTTATGTGGACATGGGGCTATCTAGAGATTTGAGTAAATCACATTCCCTTTGTAAATACTCTATGTTCCCATGAAACACAGCCACGATATTATCTCTCCTCTTTCCCCGCTCCATCTCCCTTCCCCTTGAGACATTCTTCTACTTTCTATTTTTCGGCATCTGGCCAAACCCTAGCCAAAGATTCAATTCCTGTGTAGGAAATAGAACCTATTGGTACCCAGGTTCTGTTTCACCGGAAAGGCTCAGGCTCCGTACCCACTGAATTCATGCCCATGTTGATCAGTTTTCATCTTGTTATGCCAGGCATGTCCAAATCTAACAGAGGCTTCAGTTAGCTGGGATACCTCTGCGATTGCTATGCAGAGATTCTTCTCCTGATAGCAGGTGCCAGATCCTACCAGTCTTACTAGCTAGGTTAACACAAACTTTTTATGAAATAAAAGTCACCCTGAACAGCTACTTTCCCCTAAATTAAAAAGGCGAGAAAATTTTTGTCTTATCCCAATTTAATGTATAAAAATTACATGAACTCTAGAGATGAAAAATGTAAACATAGCACCCTCTATACTAGGAATCTTAACCATTTATTGATGTCACATACATATTCTCTTCCATATTTGTAGATTTGTTAAAGAGAATTCACAGGCCTCCTTATATTTGAATACAACTGTCTCAAGAACTCTTAAAAATGTACTTCTTGAAGTGTTCTTGGACCTGGCATGAAACAATAAAGCTGTGAATGAACACATAATTCATTTACCTACAGCTACTTCTTCTTAGTCTATTTTGGGAAGTCCTACTCTGCCACTGGAGTGGTGCTTTCTCCCACTCACAAAGATGAACTATCAGCACTCTCATTTAGAGCTTGCCTTGTACTTAGCATGGATGGCGGAAAGTACAAAAACGCCGGGCATGAGATGCTGTTAAACATCCTTCTGTGCTCACAGGGGAGGCATTCCAAAGCCAGCCTTCATGGATAGAAGTAAAATTCCATCCTCAAGTCAAGCTGGACTTCTGAATGTCAAGTTAAAATTAAATTATCATGGTAACACAATCAGGGAGCGAGTGAAGGCTCCTTGGTGGCTAAGGTATGGGTCAGAGATAAGTTTGGTGTTCCAGGGCATCAAGTCCTCTGCTTAATAGCTTTCATTCTGAGTGGCACCCACGCATTTATAATGGAGAGTCTCTCCTACTTTTATCATTACCAGAAAGTGTATTCATCAAGGTGTTATCTATTCTACTAGTCTTGGTGCTCACTGTTCTAGTTAAAAGGCTATCCAAAAATACTTTGTCTTGGGGTATTGCCGAGATTTGTTGAAACGTTGGATAATTGTTCCCCTTCCCCCTCACCCAACCCATCATTTTCATAATAAAGTCCTTAATCCTTGAGGCAGCTGACATTTCAGAGGGGCTCAAGGGTGCTTAGCTTGAAAACAAGAACAAAATATGTCTGTTCACACCAGTGTCAAATGTGGTTAAGTGTGGGAACCAGGATAAGGAAAACTGAAGGCATGGGTTGAGTTGTAAGGGGCCATCTCCTTTTCCCCAGGCCCAAATATCGTCAACATGAGGGTTTGTTCTAGAGCTACTGTCTTATCTGTCACATTCCTTTTGCATAAGAAGGTAATTTGGTAGCATCAGAATTTATCATTGTTTTTGTCCAAAAATTTGTATACCAAGCCAGGCGCTGTGGCTCATGCCTGTAATCCTAGCACTTTGGGAGGCTGAGGCGGATGGATCACCTGAGATCAGGAGTTTGAGACCAGCCTGACCAATATGGTGAAACCCCATCTCTACTAAAAATAAGAAAATTAGCTGGGTGCGGTGGTGTGCACCTGTAGTCCTGGCTACTCAGGAGGCAGAGGCAGGAGAATTGCTCAAACCTGGGAGGCGGAGATTGCAGTGAGCTGAGATAGCGCCACTGCACTTCAGCCTGGGTGACAGACTGAGACTCTGTCTCAAAAAATAATCAACTAGGAAAAGAGGAAGTCAAATTGTCCCTGTTTGCAGATGACATGATTGTATATTTAGAAAACCCCATCATCTCAGCCCAAAATCTCCTTAAGCTGGTAAGCAACTTCAGCAAAGTCTCAGGATACAAAATCAATGTGCAAAAATCATAAGCATTCTTATACACCAATAA